TCAATTTGATCCAGAGCCAGCAACTCACTGGATCTGACCAAGTTCAAATTGGCAATGGGCAAGGTTTGACTGTAAATGCTATTGGTTCCTCTACTTTTACCTCACCTATTGACTGTCACACACAACTTCAGCTCAAAAACCTCCTTCATGTTCCTTCAATTGTTAAAAATCTGATTAGTGTGAGCAAATTTGCACAAGACAATCATGTGTTTTTTGAATTTCACCCTACTGTGTGTTATGTCAAATCGCAGGGGTCCAATGAGACTCTTCTTCAAGGAACTGTTGGTCGTGATGGATTATACTGTTTTTCAGGAATCAATATTGCTCAAGATAAACCTTGTTCATTAGAGCCTGTGTTTAGAAACTCTCTTCAGTCTCAATGTAATAACTCAGTTTTTGAGAAATGTACTCCATCTCATTCTTCTGTTACCTCTTGTAAAAATGTATCTGAAACTACAGTTAGTTGTGAACCTCATTCTGTATATCATTTGTGGCATTGTCGTCTAGGACACCCACACAATGAAGCTGTAAAGAGTGTTCTTTCTACTTGTAAAATTCCATATATCAATAAAACTGTATCAGATTTCTGCAGTTCGTGTTGCATTGGCAAAGCTCATCGTCTACCCTCTTCTCCCTCTTCTACTGTTTATGGAACTCCCTTTGAATTGGTTTATAGTGATCTTTGGGGTCCTGCTCCTATGAAATCTACTTCTGGTTACTCATATTATATTTCCTTTGTTGATGCAAACACTAGGTATACTTGGATGTATCCTTTAAAACTGAAATCTGATGCACTCAGTGTTTTCAAACAGTTTCACTCTATGATTAAAACTCAGTTTAACCTACCCATAAAAGCCATACAAACAGATTGGGGGGGGGGGGGGGGGTGAGTTTCGAGTGTTTTCAGATTATCTCAAAATTCATGGTATTTTACATCGTATAGCTTGTCCTCATACACATCATCAAAGTGGTGTTGTTGAAAGAAAGCATAGACATATTGTTGAGACTGGTCTTACCATGCTGTCTCATGCTTCCCTTCCACTGAAATATTGGGATTTTGCCTTCACTTCTGCTGTCTATCTCATTAATAGACTTCCCACTGCTGCCTTAAATCACATATTTCCTTATACATTATTATTCAAGTCCACTCCTGATTATCGATTCCTCAAAACATTTGGATGTGCATGTTTTCCATTTCTTCGTCCTTATAACAAACACAAACTGGAGTTTCGTTCTCAAGAGTGTATCTTTTTGGGTTATTCCTCTAGTCATAAAGGTTATATATGTCATAACCCAGAAGGTAGAAATTTTATTTCAAAGGATGTGTTGTTTAATGAGTATAAGTTCCCTTATTCCTATTGGCATACTGTTTCTTCCCAACCTACTGCACAACCCTCTATTCCTATTGTCTCTTTTAAATCCCCTTCTGTTTTCACGCCTGCTTTGCCACTGCAACACTCACAGCAGCTACTGGTCCACACTGATCCAGTGCCTTGTGCTTCAAACACTCCACAGCAGCCACTGGTTCAACCTGATCCCGTGACTTGTACATCATACACTTCCCAGCAGCCACTAGTCCCACCTGATCAAGTGCCTTGTGCATCAAAAAATTCTTCTGATTTGAGTACCAGCCCCACTTTGCACTTCATCCCTGATCTCAACACCAGTTATAGTCCTGTTTCTTCTGATTCTCCAGCTGTGTCTCCTATTTTGCCTTCACCATCCTTTTCTTCTCCTTCTCCACCCACATCTGCTTCCTCTACGTCTGACTATGTTCCATCTTCCTCTCTTGGCTCTATTTCTCCTCACTCCATCACTACTCGATCCAAAACCCTTGCTAGGTCCATTGCTCTCCTAGCTCACATTGAACCTTGTACAGTCAAACAGGCCCTTGCCAGTCCCAATTGGACAGCAGCCATGCAAATTGAATTTACTGCCCTTATTGCTAACAATACTTGGAATCTTGTGTCTTTACCATCTAACAGGACTGTAATTGGATGTAAATGGGTCTTCAAACTCAAGGAAAATGCCGATGGTAGTATTAATAAATACAAAGCAAGGTTGGTGGTTAAGGGTTTCCATCAATTGGCTGGTTTTGACTATACTGAGACCTTTTCTCCTGTGGTTCGGCCTGTTACTATTAGAGTCATGCTTACCTTGGCTCTCTCTTATGGCTGGCCTCTTCGGCAGTTGGATGTCAATAATGCTTTCCTAAATGGGGATTTGGATGAAGACATCTACATGGTTCAGCCTCTTGGCTTTGAGTCATCTGATAGGAAGCTTGTTTGCAAACTCAATAAAGCTATCTATGGGCTTAAACAAGCTCCACGAGCCTGGTTCGATAAGCTTAGACATTCTCTCTCTGTTCTTGGTTTTATCTCCAGTCGGTGTGATCCCTCTTTGTTCATTCATCACTCAGCCAACAGAAGCATTTACATACTTGTGTATGTTGATGACATTATCGTGACTGGAAATGATTCAAGTTACATTCAGCACATTGTTTCTCAGCTCAACTCTACATTTGCTCTCAAAGACTTGGGCAATTTGGATTATTTTCTTGGGGTTCAAGTTCACAGCCCAGCTCTTGGTGTTATTTTCCTCAATCAATCTAAATACATACGTGATCTACTTACAAGAGCTCATATGGATGCTGCCAAAAGCATTGCCACTCCTATGCCCACTGGTTGTAAACTCTCCAGGCATGGCTCTAACTTCTATGAGGATCCTCATCACTACCGGTCCATTGTTGGAGCTCTTCAGTATGCCACTATCACTAGGCCTGAGATTAGTTTTGCTGTTAACAAGGTGTGTCAGTTTATGGCTCAGCCTTTGCTTGATCATTGGAAAATTGTGAAACGCATATATCTGCAAGGCACCATTTCCTTTGGTTTGAAGCTGCAGTCTGCCCCTTCTTCTACTTCCTTCTCCCTCATAGCCTATTGCGATGCTGATTGGGCAAGTGATCCTGACGATGGGCGTTCAACATCGGGTGCTTGTATGTTTTTGGGTCCAAATCTTATTTCTTGGTGGTCTAAGAAACAAACATTGGTTGCTAGATCTAGTACTGAGGCTGAATATAGGAGCTTGGCCTTGACTTGTGCAGAAATTTTATGGCTTCAATCTCTTTTGTGTGAGCTTCGGGTGCCCATCTCTACACCGGTTGTTCATTGTGATAATTTAAGCACTGTGGCTCTCTCCCATAATCCGATTCTCCATGCTCGCACGAAGCACATTGAGCTGGATATTTTCTTTGTAAGAGAGAGGGTTCTGGCTAAACAGTTGGTAGTTGCTCATGTTCCTGCATCTGACCAAGTAGCTGACACCTTAACTAAAGCTCTTCCAAGTACCAAGTTTGACGAGTTACGCAGCAAACTTTGCATATTTGATTCAGCTCTCCTTCCTCAAAGATCCTGAGTTTGAGGGGGTGTATTAGAGTATAGCTTTCGATATAGCTTCACTGTATAGGATTATATCTCATATTCTCACAGTTAGTTAGTTACCATTCTGTTGTTAATCTGTTAGACCATTCTGTTGTTAATCTGTTAGGTGACTCAGACTTGAGCTCTATAAATAGCTCCTCTCACATACTTGTAACTAACTAATCATTCTTTAATATTACACACTTTCAGATCTGTGCTATGGGTTCTATACTCTCTCTCACACTCGCTTACTGTTCTTCGTGTTCATTGAATTCTATTAATGTAAAATGTTTGTGTATTTTTTAAAGGGAATATTAGTATCATGTTGTAGGAGATTAATATCTCCTGCCAAAGACACATGCCCATTTATTTTTTTTAGAAGAGTAGACTTCACATATTTTGTATTTATGTTATGAGATACAATCTCCTATAACATAAGACTAATATTTCTCATTTTTCAATCATGTAAAACAAGAAATTGCTGTCTTCTTCACGCTAGGGGGAAGAGAAGTGCTAGATATGCACACTTTATTCCCAAAACAATGTTTTTGCAGGCCGACACCAAACAAATCTTTAAAGCCCTAAATTGAATGTTATAGTTGCTTATATGAAGAGAACCACTGCACTATCTTTTGAGTACGGCTGTTCAAGAAAATAATCATTTATAAATCTAATTATTTAATTATGTGATTTATTAGATATAAGAGAATTAACAAGTAAATGCTGCAGTTTGGCCCATTTAAATTTGGCCTTAATAGCTCTCCTGTTGATCAGAAAATTTGCAGCAACACTTACTTTCACCAAGATCCGGTTCCGTATTTTGGAATTTTTTTTTTTTAATTTCAGGATCCGGCTCCGTATCTTAATATAAATATAGTTGCTGCAAATTTTTCCATCAGCAATGACAGCAGAAATGAAGAACCATTTAAATTTACTTGCAGTTTCTAGAGCTTTTGGAATGGAAAACATCATAATCTTGAGGAAAAAAAATAAAAATTATTGCTATTATAGACCTATATAAAACCCATATATTTGAAGGCCCAATAAAGAACAATTACACAAATTAAGAAAGAATCCTATTTACAATCAAATATTAAGCCCATGGACAGATCATCAAAGTCCCAAAACTCTATTGTCCACAAAGGCCCAAAACTCTATTGTCCACAGATAAATTCTATAAATAAGAAATAAAATTTACAAGTATGGACTAATCTCTCTCTTACTATTATGCGTTGTGCTATCACTATTCACACACATCACCCTTTTGATATGCTACTCAAGTATATCTTGTTAATAGACATCTTAAAAAAAGTACTTGATCCAATATTGATCTACTAATCTTATACTTGACACTTGTGTCACACATAGACATAACAATTGCAGTCTTTACTCTTCAACTGTGCTGCTAATCTGGGAAATCCTCGATTGTTTGAAAACCTCCAAATTGCGTCGTAACATACGAATTACGTTACTAGTATTCAAATGATAGATATATTGTGACATGTAGGATTTATCATTAATCTGAATCTATAATACTAATTCAAGCCTTTGTGAGAGTTTTGAAAGAAAAAAAAAAAATGCAATTATATCAAATCCAAACACGCACAAATGTATCATCCTTAATTGCCACACCCTCCAATCATAAGATTGATTGCAAATATAATTGCGCCAATGACATGTTTTCGTTTATCAGAGCTAATTGTAAACAAGATAATTTCGGATTTTATCCATAAAAATCCTGGAATTGTTGGTAATGTAATCCCTAACGCCACCCAAACGTCGAACATGATAAGCCCAGAACAAGGGTATATGCATCTGATCTCACTCAAGCCATGGATGTACCAATTGCCCCATTTCTTAAGTGCATCCGTGCCTCATTCATCTAAAGACTAAAGCTGACTGGTCATGTTTAGAGCCTTCAGGATAAATATGTAAGTGAAGGCATCTTCTTGGAGCTTCTCAAATCTACATCCACACACAACATATAGAAAACAAAAACCAAAAACCAAAAACCAAAATTAGAGTTCACTAATTACATTTAAACTCCTAGGAAACTACTTTGGAGCTGGTTAATACAACACATAACAGGTGCTTTCTTACCATTGACAAAAATATTCTAGCTTCTATCTAATACACCCCCCTAAATTCATCGATTGATATAGAAATCCAAGTCACTCAAATTTAATTGATTGAATTACTTTACTCACTAAATCACGTTCTACACTTCAGAGGATGTACTTAAAAGAGTTTAAAAAATCAGCATAGGGCCTAGCACTTTTGTTAAACTAAACTGATGGGCCTGAAAAGTGATGAGTGAGTTAGTTAGTTAGGAAATTCTTCTTGAAAATTCTTAGAGAATAGGATAAAAGGGGGGAAAGTGTGTAGAATGAGGTACGCATGAATTAAGTGAATATTTAGGGGAATTGGGGATCTCTTGGAACCTAGGTGTGTTAGTTCTAAGGGTCACCTAGGGTCTTTTGGATTATCTTTCTGCAATTAGTGTTTCTAAGCAGCTTGTCTCCAATATTTTACTTTAATATAATTTTCTGGTTTTATCAATTTGGTATAGCATTTTCTATCCGAAGGAGCTTCTGGTCCATATTTGTGAAGAAATGAAAACTATGGAAGGAATTAGTATTAAAAGTGGTGAAGGCTTTCGATGAAGCAATAGAGAGGATGCAGACATCAAGAAGCACAATTTGAGCACAATATTCAGTCAGGAAAAAAAATCAAAGAAGAAAAAGAAGAGATCAAAATAGAGGCAGAAGAAAAAAAAAAGATGAAGGAGCAGAGGAAGAAGATGCAGTAGAAAAAAGAAAATAAAAGCATCAAGGAAGTAGAAGAGGAAAAAGAAGAAAGTGGAGACGAAGAAGAAGAAAAAAAGAAGATGAAGAAGAAATTAAAGAGAAAGGAAAGGTTAGGGAAAGATTCGGGTCTTCAATTGGGAAAAGTGAATTTGGGTCTGGGTATGGGGCTGAACCCTACAACCGGACTGCATTAGCAAATTGAGCCACAACCGAATTTGTAAAAATCTAAATAGCTTTAACTTTGGTAAAAAACACTTCTAAAATAAACAAGACATAAAAGTTGTGTTTTTTAAAAAGCCAAACAAACGGGCTCAAATGGGGCAAGCCACGCTGGTTACTAAAGGAAGCAGTGGGTCGAGCCAACGAAATGGGCCCAGTGCCCCCTAACAGGGGTCCAATTTAACTACAGGAGGAAATAGGAGTGTTGGGCCTCAAACATGGCCCAATGACACCCATCTTACTCTAGGGCAGGGTTCAGGTGCCATGGGTGAGGGGCAAGGGGCTACACAAGCAGGGTCAGCGGCGGAGAACGACAATGACAATGACAATGACAAGTGCGTGAGGTTTCGACGACTGATGGTAGAGAAAATGGCAAATCGACGCTAGCGACGGAGAGCAATATACCGGCGACTTACGTCGGAGATGGCGGAGAAACAAGATGAAGTTGGAGCGACTGAGGAAGAGGAAGAGGCAGCTACGTACAAGGAGGAGGAAGAAGGTCTTTCGCTAAAATTGAGTATGCAAAGCGTAATGGGCATGACTGGAACCGCAAATACGGGTGGAATAGGGGCTGATGACATGAATCTTGAAGGGGACGACATGGTGGGGAAGGAAGAAAGAGAAGAGACGTACCTCAGGCTAACCATGTATAGGATGGTGGGGCTGACTTCTAATGGACCATTAATGGTTCGGGGAAAAATCGAAGGGAGGAGGGTTGTTGTGTTAATAGGCACATAAGCTTCCCATAATTTCCTGGCAGTACAAGTGGCTCAAGAATTGAAGCTTTCGGTGGTCAAGACAAAAACATACTTTGTGGAAGTTGGAGATGAACATATGGTCGACAATCAAGGGCTGTGGTACTGCCATGGCCAGGATTGACAATCACTCAAGACTTATGGTCAAAATGCTTTAAGCAGTGGATGTTCTATCACATCACCTATCATCTTTCTTCACCTTGAGGACAACTGAGTTTTGAAGGGGGAGTATCGATGGGCCTAAAAAATGATGAGTGAGTTAGTTAGGGAATTCTTCTAGAATATTATTAGAGAATAGGATGGGGGGTGGGGGAGTGTGTACAATGAAGGTAGGCATGAATTAAGTGAATATTTGAGGGAATTGCGAATCTCTTGGAACATAGGTGTGTGGGTTCTAAGGTGAGCTAGGGTCTTTTGCATTATTTTTCTGCAATTAGTGTTTGTAAGCAGCTTATCTCCATTATTTTACTTTAATATAATGTTCTGGTTTCATCATAAACACTCTCCCGTCCTCCCAAACCCCAACCAGAAAAAGGAAGCCGAGAAGTAATTGTAAAACACAACAAATTTTAAACAAATTTAAAAACAGACAGCAGTAAGTTATAGTTTACCTCCCTGACTTTGAAAAATGCCCAGCTCCAAGCTCGCATTTAAACAGCAGTATGTTATCATCGGTCTTCATATCCCTCAGTTTTGCCACAAACTTTGCAGGTTCAGAATACATAACCCGTGGGTCTACAACATGTACAAGCACAAATAATAAGATGCACGTCACAAGTAATATTAAAGAATAATTTTCCTCAAAATTATCTGTAATCACTAAACAATAAGAATGTTTTCGCATTCCATATTAAAACAAGAATAGTTTCGTGACAAGAATCAGATATGCTTACCATTTAATCCAGCTGTAACAAGAATGTCCGGATAATTCTGTGCCTTCACCTGCATGAAAGGAGAGTAGGATAAAAAAATCATTTCATACAGGAGAAAATACAAAATTATGCTCCAACAGAAAAAAAAAATAATGATGGCATTGGCCAGTGAAGGAGGAGAGTAGGATAAAATAAAAAATAAAAAATCATAAACAAAGATCTATTAGTGATTCCCAAAAACATTTCATACAGGAGAAAATAAAAATAATGCTAGAACAGAAAAAAAAAATGGTGACCAGTGAAGTCAAGCACAGCCATAAGGTTCTCACGTTATCCACGGGGGAATATGATTTCATGTAGAAGTAGAATTCCTCCTTCCTAGGATCACCCCATTCCTGCAGTAACATAAAGAAATCATCCCATTTCTGTGAAATTGCTTAAATAATTAAATTCAAGAATTTTGATAGCATAAACGAAACAAAGGCCCACATAACTATTATAATCTCTGAAGAATACTGGTGGCAATATAATGTATCTAACTAAAATTAGTATAAAAGCCGAATGAATGATATGACAACCAAAAAAGCTTCATATGCCTTATCTGATACATTTTATGACAAAAAGAAAAAAAAACATTAAACAATTTAACTGGAGCCTTGAAAAAATAATTGTTGAGATATATAGTCCCACATTGGTTGAAGAGCAACTAATGTAGGAGTTTATAAGACCTTCGGCACTCCCACCTTTTGAACTAGCTTTTGGGGTGGTGCATCCCAAGGTTCTTTAACGTGGTATCAGAGCTTGAGGTTCGATCCTCACCGCCCCCCACTTCAAAGTGGAAGCACAAAAGGTAAACCAAAGATTGGGGCCTGTTGCATAATCCACGCTTCAAGCCAAGAGGGCTCTTGCGTGAGGGGGCGTGTTGAGATATATAGTCCCACATTCGTTGAAGAGCAACTAATGTGGGAGTTTATAAGGCCTTGGACACTCTTACCCTTTGAGCTAGCTTTTGGGGTGGTGTATCCCAAGGTTATTTAACATGGTATCAGAGCTTGAGGTTCGATCCTCACCGCCCTCCACTTTAAAGTGGAAGCACAAAAAAGGTAAACCAAAGATTGGGCCTGTTGCATAATCCACGCTTCAAGCCAAGAGGGCTCTTGCGTGAAGGGGCGTGTTGAGATATATAGTCCCACATTGGTTGAAGAGCAACTAATGTAGGAGTTTATAAGACCTTGGGCACTCCCACCCTTTGAGCTAGTTTTTGGGGTGGTGCATCCCAGGTTCTTTAACAATAATTTAAGACAGGGACATCATGCAATGACCATGTATAAATCATATTAGGAACAAGGTGTTTCGGAGATAAAACAAAAAGGGAGAAAGGATCTAGTTAGAGCAACATAAAAAACATGGAAAAAAGACAGGGTGAACAAGAGCATATCAAAGAGAAACAAATATGTAGAAGTAATTTATCAAAATACAGCAAATGATACACCCATTTTAGTAAGGCAACAAGTTCAGCCAACAACACATTATCATCAACAAGATGACAAGCAAGAATACATTAATTCAACCGACTCTCTTGAGCGCCTGCATTATCATTGGCAGCAAACTACAGTAAACTATTTAAAACAAAGAAAACTCAGAGAATAGAAGGACTTCAGTTTTGTATTTTTTTGTAAAGGATATTTTCCTTCTCTTAAATGTCTTCCAAGTGTTTCATTACAAATTAATAACTCTCACGATAAGAGAATACATGCTTTTAGGGGAGTATTCATCGGGTAAATATAAGCCAAAGCATCTGACTGCGTTATTTTTACTGAAAGTGACATTTTTGTATGCTGCCTTAAGGCAATCATAGGCTCATTCTAAATAAGATTATACCTTTGAGTTGAGACGACATAGTTATCGAAAATCAGAAAAGGGAAGATCTAGTTTCTAGAATCCAATTAACCTGTATTAATCATTTTCAAATGTTGATATGGAATGACAGACTAAGAAAGAAAATTACCTCCCATTCTGAAGTTGTGAGAGGAATAGTTGGATCAAGCATTGTTGTCACAACATCCACAAAAGGTACTCCGGCAACAGCAGCCTTAAATAAATCTGGTCTCATATTAAGAACTGCACCAATTAGCAAACCCCCAGCACTTCGTCCATTGATGCACAGTCTTTCCTTAGAACAGAATTTTTTTTCAATCAAATATTCAGCACATGCAATAAAGTCAGTGAAAGTGTTCTTTTTCTTCAAAAGCTTCCCATTCTCATACCACTGTCTCCCCATTTCACCACCTCCACGTATATGAGCTATTGCATATATAAAACCCCGATCTAACAATGAAAGCCTTGATGACTTGAAACTGGGATCTATGCAAATCTGTTGAAAATGTGAGTTCACTAAACTATAGATCTAGAAGGACACGAGTTTAAGGTAAAAAAACCAGATTCATGAAAGGAAATATGCTACTTAGACTCCAAAACTGGAACCTTTGTAACCAAAGGAACGTACTAACTAACAAATAGTACCCATATAACAGAGGGAACATAAAAATAAATAAATAAATAACCATCACCTTTGCTAAGCGAATTAATGCACAAAGGAATCAGAAACCTATTAGTGAAACAGTCAATAAAATCCAAACATAAATAAGGATGTTCATACAGAAAAGCATCTTGCACTCAATAAAATGGGACAAGACAAAGAGAAAACTATATCTAAGTTCTGATAAGAAAATAAATATGAATGTTTAGTGGCAAAAAAATTTAATTATTGCATTTTAATTAAATAATTACGGATCTATTGCACAATGTGACGCCTTTTTTGGACGTCACATGTGACGCCTCATTTAGGCGTCTCTCACCTAAGGGAAGACGCCCCAATGGGGCGTCTCTCATGAGGTGTTGACACGTGTCATTTTTTTATTTAAAAATAATAATAATTTAATCATAAAACTTCTGAAGACCATAACTTTTGACTCGGGTATCCAATTCAGGTAATTCTTTTTTTGATTCCACATAACTTTTCGAGATCTACACAATGACATCTCATTTGATATATTTTAATTCTCACAAACATAATTTAAATTTAAATCAGGTAATCCTTCTTCCTTAGAGATTTAGAATATTTATTTAATTATTTCCTTTATTAATACAAATTTTTTAAATTGATTTTTGAGTTTAAATCACAGATCAAATCTTTATTTTGTTTTCCTTATTAATAATAATTGTCACTTTTAATTTAAATCACAAACCAAATTTTTTTTATATTTTTTTTATAATAAAAATAAAAAAATTTATTTTTTAAATTAAATCACACATCAAATCTTAATTTCTTTTTTATATTAAATCACAAACGCAGAACTCAGAGGCTTCTGAGTTTAAAAATGTGACACGTGTCAACACCTGACACGTCACCAATCACGTCTAAATTGGGTTTCAATCAAGAGGCAATCACGCCTAATTTAGGTAATTTTATTTTTGAAAAACATTCATAAGCCATCATTAATTTCAGACCACGAATAATAACCCAGAAGCTTATAGCATTAATCATTAATTTCAAAAATAATATCCTTCTTCCTTAGAGATTTAGAATATTTATTTAATTATTTTCTTTATTTCTACAGATTTTTCAAATTGATTTTTTAGTTTAAATCACAAATCAAATATTTATTTTGTTTTCCTTATTAATAATAATTTTTATTTTTATTTTAATTTAAATCACAAACCAAATTTTTGTTATAATAAAAAAAATTAAATCACAAATAAAAATTTTATTTATTTTTTTATATTAAATCACAAACCCAGAACTCAGAGGCTTCTTGGTTTAACCGCTCTTATAATACCATTCTTGCAAATTAAAATTGTGTTTGTGAGAAATAAAATATGTCAAATGAGATGTCATTGCGTAGATCTCGAAAAGTTATGTGGAATCAAAAAAGAATTACCTGATTTCGATCCCGAGTCAAAAGTTATGGCCTTCAGAAGTTTTATGATTAAATTAATTTTTTTTTGGAAAAAAATATGACACGTGTCAACACCTCATGAGAGACGCCCCATTGGGGCGTCTTCCCTTTGGTGAGAGACGCCTAAATGAGGCGTCACATGTGACGCCCAAAAAAGCGTCACATTGTGTAGATCCCTAATTATTTTCAAAACTGCAATAAATGCGTAATTATTTAATTAAAATGCAATAATTAAATTTTTTTGCCGGCAAAAAAGCGAAAAAACAGTTCAAATATATTTAGAAGTGCAATACTTTCCTTTTGATTTCAAGTAGCAAGCATTCAAGACTGTTCTAAATCATCAAATTGAAAATAACCACACAGAGGGCAGCAACTTTCATGCATTAGCAGATACAAAATCAAAGCATATAATTCAAAATTGGCATTGTTATAAGCAAATTAATTCATATAAAGTTGTATGTTTCTCTTACCTCATAAGACCCATAGCCATAAAGTAGTAATGGATCTGATCCATCAAGTTTCACAAGATCTTTTCGGTAAACAATTGATATGGGAATCAAAGTTCCATCCAAAGCAGGTGCCCACTGCCTTTCAGTGACATAACGTGTTGAATCAAAACCTCCCAGAACCTGCATAAAATAGGAGATAACCAATACAGGCACAGAGAATAATCAAACATAAACAAGACACAAGGAAATGAGGAAAACCTATAATAATAATGGAGGCATTATTACCTTGACTATTCTTGTAAGTACCCAATACCTTTTCAAACATAGCTTTACACACATGTTCACTCTACTTACCATATAATTCATTCTATTCATATAACCCATTCTATTTGTTAAGTTGGAACTAGTTCGCATATTCCTAAGACCATGAATATTACATCACAGTACTCTTCAAAAAATATTGGTAAGTCACCCCTCATCATAGCTTTCTCATAAAGTTCATTCCATTTTTTATAATTCAGATTTTATTTCAGAAATTCAAATTTTAGCATTCCATGTGCAGTCTTTTAGAGTCCATCAACACATCAGTAAATTCTCTGAGAAAAAATCAGCAGAGAATAATGATATAAGGAAAAAGTGTTTGTCATTTTAAATGACATAAAGTTACGTCATTTTAAGAGAGATAGAAACAAAATATTTTTTTTATTTAAAATTTAAATTAAAAAAAATCACCTACTTTGTCTCTCCCATGATTTCCATTTTTTTGTGTCTATCTCTCTCCTAAAATGACATAACTTATGTCATTTAAAATGACAAACACCAAACCCATGATATAAATATGAAATAAGGAAATCACTCATGGAATTATGGATGCTAGTATGAAATAGATTAGAAGCATTTGCCATGCATAACATAGCGAAAGGCCAAATTTATGTGATACCAGAAAGAAGCACTTCAACAAAAAGGAATTGTAAGCCTTGCATAAAACCAAGATATTTGTGCAACAAATGATTTAAGGCTGAAGTAAGACATGATGAAAAATTGAACAGCTTCGGAGTTTAACTGCGTATATAACTTACCGAGTCAATCTTCTTCAAAACTGAAACACCTGCCTTCATGTCATAATCATATATAGAGAAAGGAGTCTTCAATGAGCTATATGAAAACCGTACAATACTCGAGGAAAACTCTGATTCCGAAGATTCTACTGAGTACACTGGATCAATAAAACTAACTGCCTGGCCGCTTTGAAGGCTCCTTAGTGGTTCACCAATAGGTGGAAGGTGATAAACCATTATTTTTGGTAGACCATTTTCTCTCTCATATGCAACAAGTTGATCATTAAAAAGTTGTATCTCCTGAATTTTTACACTAAAGAAAATTCAAGATAAGTTTTGGTTAAAAAAAAAAAGCACATACTCCAAGAATTTCTATTGTTTTACATTTTATTCATGTTAACAATTTTCAGGAAAAATTAAGGATGTTGAAAGATGACAAGCATCATCATATAGAAATAATGTCACAGCAAACTGTAATGGTGCAGAATGCGACATACTGTTTTACTATACAGAATTTCTAATTTCAAAGATAATTGTCAAGAACCAACTCTCCTAAGAGCTTGATAGGCCTATTTTAACTTGTGCTGAAATTTAATTTAGGAAGAATGGGGATGACAAGGATCAAGCACATGACTACTTGGTCATATACGGCCCAATATCATGTCAAAGAACAATTCACCAAAGTTTAAGTTGAAAGGTGGAGGCCCAAGATAGGTTTTAATATCTCAAATAATAATGAAGAGAACAAAGTGGATGGAGAGAGTTGCATGGGCAGCAAATGATTACAAAGCATCTTAGAAAATATGCCTTCCATTAGAATGCAGGTTCAATTAATGCATGGCTTTTACAAATGGAACATGCATCTAGCATAATACTATTCATAATGTTCAAGTAACCCAACATAAAAGTTGCAAATAATCATAAATGACCACATTTTCAGAAATCATTTAACTGATATTCTACATCCTTTAAGACACTACTCAGTGACCCACACTCGCAAGCCATGTCAGGAAATTATCATAATGTAATCAAGATTATGGTCCAAAATAAAGGAAACAACTACGCAATGATACAGATATTGCACTACCTTTCCCTGTGGGGAATAAGAACCGTAGTTGATGAGGTGTTATTGACAGCACAAGCTACAACCTCTGAATTGAAAAATTGATCACTTCTCCTCTTAATAAAGAAATGATCTCCACGATGGCTGACAGTTGTGTCAATGCCATCTACACGTGGTGTCAGAACTTTAAGACCCTCCTCAGGTTTGGAAACATCCAGATAAAAGTTGAACCTTGTATTTTTACTTTCCGATGCAACAAATAAATATTTCTTACTCTCAGAAGCTTGAAGGTCAAGAGAAAATGTATCATCCTTTTCTATGTAGAGACAAGTATCCTTTGATTGTTCTGTTCCCAACACATGAAACCATGCCTGTATCACTTAAGATGTTAGGATAACAAGTAGACAATTAAGATATGGCATGCCATATGCCACAAAATCAATAGACAATCCAAAACTTATACAGACATGGAGCAAGTAATAATGATTTAGACTTTAGAAACATGGCCGGAAAAATAGGAAATTGGTTATGGAAAACAATGTCAAATTCAACATTGTAAATATATTCACATATCATGTTGAAGCAAGACTTCATCAATCAGTACTTGTGTCTAGCTATGAATTAAGCAGTAAACATTCAGTTTCGCTGCCACATTGAATCACACAGTAACCACAGATCTCATCTTCCAGTTTTCAGCATCTTTATCTACCTCAATTAACTTAATCAATTTGGCCAATTTCACTCCTAACCAGATTTAAATTTAAAATGCACATCCAATGGCTTTGGACATGTGAGAAGTTGGTAGCCTAAGATAAATTGGAGATGTGAGAAGAAGAGCAATAGAGGATCGAGTTAGAAGATTTGATCAGGTGGAGGATAACCCAATGATTAGAGGTAAAGGTAAAAGTATACTAAGAAAGATTCCAAGAGAAATCATTAAAAAGGATCAAGAAGTAAATGGCCTCGCTGAAGAATTGGTTTTGGACAGAACACAATGGCATCATTTGATTCATGTAGCTGACCCCACCTAGTGGGAAAATGCTTTGGTGGTTGTTTGTTGTTGAAGAAAGAAGCATCAATCATAATGGAACAGATTAATGCTGAATCCAAAGAAGAAATGCCCCCACCTTGTCAGGCCTGAGAATCTCATCCATTGTGATATAAACTAGAGCATCATCACCGGCCCACTCAAGGTATGATGTTACACCAACAAGAGGCTGTCCTATAGGAGCTTGAGTCTCAGCATCAACGACATAAACAGTATATATTTCATCTCCTTTGGTGTCTTCTGCATATGCTACCAACTTGTTATTTGGGCTAACCTGATAAGAAATAAAGTTTGAAATAAAATAAAAGCAGGATGGAAGTTAGGAAACATAACAGAAGAAAACAACAAAATTGTCATAATAATGATATGATCTAAACCTTAAAAGCACCAATACTGTAGTATTGGTGATGTTGTGCCTTGATATTCTCATCCAAAATAACATGCTCCTGAGGAGCTTCAGGTCCTGTGGGCATGGTGTCATACACAGACGGCACCTCTTGGCTATCAGATATAAGGCGCCTACAATGTTGAACATACTCCTTCCCTTCCAAATTTCTCTGGTAATAGTAATAAGGTCCTTTGCGTAAAGGTGCAGAGACATCATCCTCCTTAATCCTTCCTCTTATCTCAGCAAAAAGCTTATCTTCATATTTCTTGGTTCCTAGAAAATTAAAAACGTGTAGAATTTTCTCAGGTGTTTTAAAGAAATTTCCTTGAAAAGTGTATTCGGGTGTGTATATAGTTATAGCAATAGGATTCTCAAGTCTGCACCTTGCAGTCATAGAGCCTTTACCCCTTTATGCTGTTCTGTTTAACAATGAACGCTTTCCAAATATTGCATGGGAAGTGAACAGAAGACTACCTTGTCCAGTTACATTACAGACCAACCATCTACCTCCAGCTTGACTAAAAAACTACAGAAGCCCAACGTAGTATCTATAGCCAAGTGTCTAGGAGGCGTTTTGTACACAATGAATTAAGAAAATATTTAGTTATTTACAACAAACTTCGATTTCGAGCAAATCACATTACTTATAATTGATAGATAATTACTAGGTTGGAATTTTCTTAGTTCAATTACCACAGATCACACTTGGGAACCAATGTCAAGAGTATCACGTTGAAAAAAAAAATATATTAATTACTGTAATTAACTTATAAGATACATGGGTCTGTTTGCTGAAACTATCGCTTTATACTAATCTAAATAGAATATAAAACTAACAAATTTTTTTTTCAAGTAAATCCACATTTCCACAACCTTGCTTACAGTGTCCCATACTCCAATGCTTGAGCGGATTGTATTTTGAAAAATAAAATTCAAAAATAAGAAGAAGAAAAAAAAAAGGCACCGAAAGCGAAAGACGAAGAAAGAGGATAAGATCGGATTCGCACCGGACAGGATGGAATCGGTGTAGGCATTCTCCTGGCGGAGGTAGGAGAGCATCTCAGGATCGGTGCGGGAATCATCTCGGAGCCAATAGTAGTTGTCGATCCTCACATCGCCGAACAGCTCCATCACATGCTCCACCTTCTTCGCCACCGGAGGAGGCGGAGACTGAGACTGCAGCGGTGAGCTCATTGGCGATTCGGAGGCGAAGCGACGGCGGTGGTTGTGGTGGTGATGAGAGAGTGCTGCGGCGGCGAAAGGAATAGAGGAAGAAAGAATGACGGTTACAGCTAACGGAATGCAGAGAAAGCGACTAACGTCTAGGCGGAGACTTTGAAGTACCATTATTTTATCGCTCTTTATTGGGTTCAATTTTTCAACAGTCTACTCGCCTTTTTTTTTTTCTTTTTTTTTTAATACAAATTTTCTATTATTTTGAAACTGGTAGAGAAACAGAGATGGCGCTATGGCTACCGTTTGGTACTAGTTCCACTTCTCATTTGTGGTATTATTCACTATTCAGTGTTCTTAACTCAGTGGCCGAGTACAAGTGCCCATGGAGTTCAAACACGCGCGTCCTGGATTGTGAGTGCAATATGGTTTTGTCCCATTAACAAGAGATAAAGGAGAGGTTCTGAAGGACGTGCTGTGATATAAAGGATAAACACTAATCTTTATTTAGGGGAGAAAATGTCTGTGCAGTTAAACGTAAATAAGTTATTTGTATTTATTTTTAAAATAATATTATTTTGATATTGAAATCTTAAAAAATTATAAATATAAAAATTATTATAACCTGAAATAAATTAAAATTATCAAAACATCATGATTTTTGTCTAAAACAACGTCGTATTAGCTTATTGCAGATAGCTTATCTGCATTAGTATGTAAAAAAAGCAAACTCTTATTTATATTATTATTATTTCAGTTGAATAAAAAAATAAATACCGAAATAATAATAATAATATGATTTATTTTTTTATATTTTAATACTCTATTCAAGTTAAACCTTTAACTTGTTAAAATCAAATAGACTAAAAACAAAATAATCTTAAAATATAAATTAGTGGCAGGAGGTGCAATAAAAAAAAAAAACAACCAATGCAGAGTCAAGCTAGTCTGTCTTAGGAGGCGTTTGGTACAGGAGAGATTTTTATTTGTCCGGGAATCTCAATTTTCAAAAATATGATTTTTACATTCAGTTTACGATAATATTCGAAAATTTAAAATTTAGAAAAATTCAGTTTCCCGGAAATCTGGCCAAATGCCGCGTACCAAACGCCCCCTAAAGAAGTTGGAACGACTATGGTGAAATAAAAGCGTCAGACTATAAATTCAATACCATAAAGTTTAGAAAGGATACACCATGAGCAAACAAAACAAAGATGTAAATAAAAACTGTTCCATGATAACTAATGGGACGTTTGATAGGAGGTGTTTTGTAGGATTCCCAAAAAAATAGAATTTTTTTAAATTTTTAATTTTTAAATATTATCATATGTTTTAATCATATTTTTAAAAATCAGCGAACTTGGTGCAAAAAATTCTATAAAAGTCCTGCGTCCCCCCTCTCCACCTCTTCTCCCACTCTCTACCTCACTCCTTCTCTCTCTAAGTGTCTTCTCTCTCTTTCTAAAGGTTAGTTTTTTTTTCTTTAGTTTTTGTGGTTTCAATATTTAATTTAATTTATTATTTAATGCATTATTTAATGTTTAATATTAATTAGTGTAGATTTTTGAAACATTAGGTTAGTTAATGTAGATAATTGAAACATTAGGTTAGTTAAAGTATTATTTATAATTCATGCTCTTTTATTAGATGTTATGTTAGTTTAGTTTTTTATTTATGCTCTTAAATATTTCCCTATAATCTTAATTTTTTTTTATCTAGGGAAATGTTTCTTTAATAATTTATTTATATTATTATTTTATGCACTATTTAATGTGTTAGATTATTTAATGTTGATATTTGAAACATTAGGTTAGGGGATGCATTAATTTTAATTCATGCTCTAATGTTAGATGATATGTTACAATTTGTTTTTTATTTATGGTCAATAATATCTTTAATATTATTAAGGGTTAATTTTTTTACTCATAAAATTTGTATTATTTAGGTCTATAAATTTAATTTTAAATTTATGCTTTCATAATTTTGTAATATTATTTAATGTTAATATTTGATACATAAATGCTTAGGTCATATAAATGTGTTAGGTATAATTTTTTAATGTTATTATTTACTTAATAAAATAAATGTTATTATTTAATATTAATTTAAAAAACTATTATCCGTACGCCACGATGGATAGTACATGTCGTGAACTGGCAAGCTTTCATCAAACAATTGTTGAGTTTGTGGTGCAAGTGCGGGGGACGCGTCCTCATCTTCCGGATTAACCACTGGCACCATGTTTATGTCGATGATGTCAGTGGATGGTGAAAAAAGTTGACTGCTTGATTGTCCACCATAGTTGACTTCTGCATAAAATTTAATAAATCTTGACTCGTCGTGTTCTGAAGTGCTTGCATCTACTACTAGCGTTACATCTTCGTCTTCAACAATTTCCACGCCAATCCATTGCATGGAGTTACCAGAGGCACATCTAGCGGTCAATCAAGCAAGAGTTTGACCACGTTGTAATCTCAACTTCTTGTATATCATCTTCTGAAGCTCATGAAGATTGCATGTTGGGCTCATGCGAAACATTTTTGCATCACCTTCAAAAACCTGCCCGTTTGGTCCAAAATATTTTCTCCCATTATAATAAACTGTGGCGATTATATCATTCTTACCCTCACTCATCTTACAAAAGTAGAAAATAAACTAACATTCACAAAAACAACACAAAAGTAGTAATGTTATATATAAAAGGAAAATTTTCGCACTCAGAGCCCGCTCCTAAAATGAAAGTGTGGTCATTTATAGTAACAAACTTCGCTAGAGGTTGCACCATTTTATTGAACACAATTCGCTATGCCCCCTAGCGAATTACTAGGGGGCTGACACCTGTCTATTATTTGTCAGATCGGTCCCTAATTCGCTATGAATCATGGCAAAATAAGTACGTAATTCGCTAGGCAGTACAGCAAATTTTTGGGGTATTGACACGTGTCCTGACAATAACTGGACAGAACTGGCCATCTGACACCAAATTCGCTACTCAATGTAGCGAATTATTGTTGTGACACGTGTCCAGCAATTGACTGACATGACTGACTCCTGGTCAACATAATTCGCTACATAGTGTAGCGAATTACTCCAGATTTGACAGGTGGCATTCTTGTTGACTCGGTATTCTGAGTTGACATATTTCGTTACGCAGTGTAGCGAATTATCACGCGTGGTATTTTGGAAAATTTTACTATTCGCGTGACAATCTGGTAATTTTTTTGTTTTTATGTAAAAGTTGGCCCACTTTCTTTGGAATATCCTGTTGGTTGATATGGAGTGACAGAAATAATATTGTTTTCTCTAATACTGGTGTTAATCATGTTAGTGTTGAATAGTGCTAAAATCTTCAGCTCAAACTTTTTGGAGACAAGAAAGACCTTATGCTTGGCAGGTCTGCAGCAAGCATACCGCAAATTATCAATCTGGTTTTTCACTTTTTTATTTTATTTTTATTTTTTTATGAAAAAGTTAGTTTAGATGAGAGGGAGGCAAGTCTCATGCAAGGCCACCAAAGTTTTATATCACCGACTAAAAAGAGAAACTCAAGAATCGAACCTAATCTGATTCTGTAAAATAACACAACAGTGTAGTATTGACAGCTTAACTATATACCAAAAAATTCTGGTGGTGGAAAATTTAAAATGAAACCATATTGTATCCCCTGAATTGGTAGCTAGAGTGCGCATTTTTGTGGGTATCATTTTGATGATCCTTGCACCAGCAATACTGGTATCAATCATTTTATGAGTACCCACAGCCACGCGAGGAAGAGCAAAATCTAGTCACCATTTTCGAACTCCAAAAGAAACCAGGAAAAACAGGTTACCGCAAAGATACAGTACAATAAATTATATTATTATAGCCTCCAATTTATGGTAAATCGTACGAATACTATATATTTTTATAAAATTTTATAATGAATAGGAGGATATATAAAAATTTTATTTTTTAAATAATAATATATTTTAACGTGTGTTGGGATTCATATTAACACTGCACTAGTGCTACATAGTAATTATTTTTTATTTTTTTTATGGATGCAACATGTAGATTTTTAAATGATGGAGTGGATTGTATCTGTTGGGTATGGCTCATACTTCGCATGCTGATAAAGATCCTAATTATCGGGGTCAGCAGAAAGGCAACTGGGATTCCGTAGAGACTAGGTACTATTGTGAGCCTCTGTTTTCATTGTAATTTTCTGAGCAGTTTGGGTTTGGACTAATGAATAGATGCTATTAGGGTTTTCTAATCCTATTTATATTTTTCTTATAAACCGAGTGACTTGTAACGGGTGACGGTGAGGGAAATATAGTACAGACAAGTTGTTGGACGTAGCCTTAATTGGGTGAACCAGATTAAATCATCATGTCAATCTCTCTACTCTTATCTCTTTTAATGTTTTCTCGATTTTGTGTGGTTGTCGATTTCAAGAGTATCTTTATAAAAGAACGTTATTACATAATTATGTATTATAAATATCACACATAAGAAAAGTTTTTCATGCGTTAGATAGAATCAGAATAGGAGTAACATGGGGAATTATCAAAGAGGAGACACTCGGAACTCTAGCGGAGTAACAGAATCTGAAATAGAATCAGATGACTTATACTTTAGAGAACATTTTAGATCGGGACAGCATATGGCATACACTCTTGGAGAAGATTTTGTAGCTATAATCCCACTGCAAACGGTCTTCAATTGCCGTAGATATTTCAAAGTCAAATTCGTTAAGTTGGGGAGTGTAACTGTAATTGTATCAACCTCACATGCGAATATCTCCTTCATTGATTCACAACTATGTACTTTTATTGACTCCAGGTTTGGGAGTTGTGGCAGCCACGCAGATGTCATCAACTTCTCCATCTTGTCACATCTCCAGATCTCAAGATGTTTGAGATGAGAGAACATGTCTATGCCTCCCGGAGGAGGTGACATTGCTGTTACGCCATCATCATTTTCCTTCCATATAACATCTAAGCTTCCCAAACATTGAAGACGCAAATATTCAAGGTGTTGAAGATGAGTGCAAAAGGAACAAGAAACAGATAAACAAAACAGGCTCTCCAGTTTTGTGCAATCCTCAATGCGAATTTCCCTCAAAGAAGAAGGACCATTGAATGACAGAGCATCACATAAGCATCCGGTCCATTGCTGATTGCCTCCTATCCTCAGTTTCGTAACGTCTCTCGGCAGTAAATGCTCAAATTCTTCGCAATCTCCAAAACTTACAGTTCGGTCTTCTAACTCTGATTCAAAATCAAAACTACATGAATTTCCCAAACGGAGATCATAAGTGTTGGGTGCCAGGGTTGTTTTCACATAATCATTCAAGTTCTTGCAGTCACGAAAGTTGCATCGAAAACATTCCAACATACTCATCCCTTGTACATCTTCTACTTCTACTTTTACATTTTCTGAAAGAAGATCGAGGTATTGCATACTGGTCAAACTCTGAACCACGGACCAAGTTTCCAAGGTCAATCTTTTATTCCCTGATAGATTCAGCCATTTCAAGTTGATTAGCATTTCCAAGCCTCGCGGTACCTTTTCAATTGAAGTATGTGAAATGTCCAATCTTGACAATTTCTGTAGCTCTCCCAAAGAAGGTACATATTTCAATGATTCACATCCTCTCAGCACCAAGCAAACAAGGGACCTCAAGTTAGACAATGAATTCGGCAAACATGTTAAACTGGCATTATCAGATATATCAAGTTCCGTTAGAGCATTCATGTGGTGGAAAAAACAATCTGGAATACAACTGTAGAGATTATGACTAAAAATCAAGGTGGACAACTTTGGACACTGAGGTGATGTGCCCACTGGGATTTCTTCTATCTTATTGTTTGCTAAGGAAACTAGCTCCAAATCAGCTGTCCATTCATGAATGCGAGGTATCCTTGTCAATCCTCTATTACATTTCACCATATACCCGTGTCCCATGATATGGCATGCCATGTTCCTCACCAGATCATGCATACATAAATTGCCATCTCCTTTATGCAATAACAAAGAATGGCTTTCGAGTTTTACCAATATGGCAAGTCCCTCATCAAATATTTCCTCCAAACTCCTCATTCCATTTATCAGTCCCTTGTCAACCATCTTTATGATAAACTCTCTTGTGTACTCAATTTGCCCGTATAATGCACAGTTTAAGAAACATTTTTGCATGTTTATGTCAATTAAATTATCATAGCTGAATTTTAATACCTTGAAGAGCTCTTTTTCCATCTCTTCTCCTGTTGCCAAATTTTGAAATTTATTCAAAGCATGTCTCCATTGACCAATGTCATTTACCTCTTTCATGTTTCTAGCTATCACGCTGATTCCAAGCGGTAAACCTTCACATTTCTTTGCAACAGCTTTTGCAATCTCTTCTACATCAGGAGGAAGCGTTGCAGGTGTTCCATTGTAACCAAGTTTTAGCGAAAATAACTCCCAAGCTTCTTCATCATCAAAGAGAGGTTCCATGCTTATTATATTATTCGGAGGGCAACCCATCTGTTGATACACATGTTTCAAACGACTTGTCAAAATCAATTTAACTCCATTCACTCTCAGAGGAATTCCCACCTTGTACAGATCAATATAATTCCAAACATCATCCAAAATAAGCACGCATTTTTTTCTTTCCTCCAACGCTGATGACAACATTTCTGCCCTTATTATCTCATCATCTTCATCAAGCTTTAAGCCTACTCTCTTGGCAATGTCGTTTTGCAATTTAAAAATGCTAAATTTTTGGGATACAGTAACCCAAAAGACATGCTTAAAATTTAAAGTGCCCCCTTCCCTTTTTATTTCGTCCTTGACATGAGTTACTAGGCATGTTTTCCCCACTCCTCCCATTCCGTGTACGCCAATTATGAAGACTTCGTCATCCTGTAGGAGTTTCAACACACTCTTATAGTTTTCCTCAAAACTTTCACCAACCAATTCATTCCACAACACCAAAGGCTTTTCTGCTGTATGATACTTGAATTCTCTGGTCACATTCTCCAAGTCAATCGCTTCACAAGCTCTTTCTTTCAAGTATGCAGCTTCCTCTAACCAATCATCAACAAATCTCTTGCGCTTCTTTCCATGGGACTCCAGCCACTGTAATTGTCCCTTAATGTCATCTTCCTCAGTAGTTAAATCATCAACCAACTTTGTTATTTCACTGCGCTCACTTTCGAAAGCGCAATTGCCGCTTCCAATCACGTGCACGTGCTCCTCCATCTCTGCCAAACCTGCTTCATTTAAAAAATAAAAATAAAAATTGGAAGCAATTAGTTTGCTTCTCTATGATAGTTGCAAACTTGCAAGAGATAAAAAAAATATTAGTAAATTGAAAAGTTTTTTTTTTTCTTGTAAAATTCAGATCCATCAATAAGGAGTTTTATTGGTTAAATTTTAGTTAGCAATAATTACTTTTCAATGCTTTTTAATATGTTATAATGAAAGTTCAGGTGTAAATCATATCAAACTTTCAAGGGAAAATTACATAAAATCACTCTATTATTAGTGGGTTTCTCAAAACACGCCCTGCACTTTTAATTGAGACAATTAACCTCCCTCATCTATCACATTAGAACAATTAAGCATACTTAGCAATTTTAAGAATAAAATATCCTTATTCTCTTCAATAACCATTGTCGTATGACACCGTCTAACGTTTGCAATATTTTTGGTAAAATTCGAATATTGAAAAGAATGTGTTGTAATTTGAAAAATTCGTTTCACAAACAGTAACGCAAGAAACATAGCAAGAAAGAATAAAGAAACATAGCAAGAAAGAATAAAGAAAGGAGACACCAGTATTTTATAGGTTCAGAAACTCAGTGTTAGTGAGTTTCCTACGTACTGGGGCCTAAGGAGGGTTAAACGCCCTCTGAGATTTACTCTATATTCAAATCAAGTTCAGAACCAGAGTTTACAGTATACAATTTCAAATATACAAAATTAAAGCATGTGAAGAAACTAAACACGAAAACAGATCAACAAGAAATACAATCTTAAAATAACCACATCAAGATTATGAATCAGAACCAAATGGTTAAAGAGGACTTCCCAATCTTTGAGCCGGCAAAGGAATCGTAGTTCCTTTCACACGATCTCCAAGCTGATCAACATCAGCTGCACAGATCTTCCTCACAAGGTTGAGCTTCCACCTTTCGACCGTCGATCAGAAAAGTACACCGATCAATAGAACCGTCTTGTTGAGATGAACAAGTTTCTCCAAATCACCATAGATCAAATCTCAGTGTATCACTCATTATTCTCAGAATGAATGCACTCACAAACCCTAGCGAACAGTGTGTTCGAGAGAGTTCTTTTTGGGATGGTAGCCGAATCAGAAAAAATCACGTTATGGTCACTGTGAGCTCAGCTGAGGTTAAGTGCCTCACTTGCCATCACGAGGTAAAACGACAGCGTTTTACTTGTGTTGCAAAGTGGGCCTTATCCTTTCAATTGGGCCAGCAACATAAGCAACAAATACTGAAGGAGCCCAATAGCAGATAAAAGAGATTAACACATCTATGTTTATGAAATTCATATAACAGAATGTTTTGTTGTTTAAGTAAAGTCGGAGGATTGGGTCTATTGAGAATTGTTAAGGGAATGCATATATCATTTTGCGAGGAGGTGAAGATGTTTGTATCGGAAGAACTCAGTTTAGAGAAAGGGGCATCATTGTTCCCAAGGCTAGAACTCGCTACATATTAAGCAATGAATACAAGGGCTTCTTTTCTTTGAAACTCAAACACTGTTTGCGAACATATTGGCATTTTTGGGGCTTGGTTCGTCAATTGCATTACCTTTCGCTACTAAGGGTGGGTCTTTTCTTGGAGTTGGGACATTCATAGATTTTTCCTCGATGGTTAAGGAGAATTCTCAAAATACCTATATCTACAGCTGTGGCAATAGGTGCATAATTTCCCTCACGTCTGAATCCCAAACAATTCAATTGGGGGTTAATACACAAAGGAGTGTGAGTCATATATTCCGCGGAACTACGTTCTTGCCAAGGTTGTATGTCCTTTTTTTACATATATTTAATAGGGGCAAGTTATATTTACAAATTTTGTTGTTTACAAACTATTACAAACTACACTAAGTACGACTGGTCATACTTTAATCATGCAGTGTACGACCGGTCGTACTTAATGTAATTTGCAAAAAAAATTTGTAAACGGATCCTATCCCTATTTAATATATTTCAAATTACATATATTTCATACCCTTTTTTTTTTGTAAACATATATTTCATACTTAATTCTTTAGTTTGATATACTTGAAAGAAAAGTAAATATTATTGCTATTGTAAACAACATAAAGAAAATGTTACAACATATAAAGAGGCTAATGGGTATAAAGGAATAAGCTAAAATTCTAAAAAGATAAGGAGTCCTAAGAAGATAAAGAAACAAATAACTACAGATAATTATAGTATTACTTAGATATAATTTAAAGATAATTCCAATACTTACAACATTCCCCTCAAACTTAAGAATGAATATTTATTATTTCTGGCTTGTTAATAAGTTTTTGAAATTTGTGAGTAGGACGTCCCTTAGTCTAAAAATTAGTTAGTTGACAACCAAAACTAATATATAGAGTAGTGATCAAGTTCATTATCTAGTTTCTATTTGACGAAGTGGTGGTAAATCTCAATATGTTTGGTCCGATTGTGTCGGACCAGATTGTGAGCTATATAGATGGCTGACTTATTGTCACATAGTAATTTCATAGATCTTTCTCATCTCACCTTGAGATCATCAAGAATGTTTTTCAGCTATAATAATTCACAAAGACCTTAAACTATGGCTCAAAATTTTGACTCTACACTTAACCTAGCAATCACATTTTATTTTTTACTTATACATGTTACTAGATTTCCGTAGAGAAGCATACAATAGACCGAGGTAGACCATCAATCAATCACGGACTTAACATAATTGACGTCTGTATAAACTTCTAAGGATAGGCTTCCCCTTCTCCATAATATATAATAGTTTTCTACCTAGTGTGGCTTATAGATACTAGAGAATCATGTCCATTGCTTGCAACTATTTTCCCCTTGGGTCATGCATCAATTGACTAACAATGTTAAGTGCATAAGCTAGAGCCAAATATATCAATCTTCCTATCATTCATTGATAATATCCACTATCAACTAGAGGGATCTCATTTTCACTTCCTAGTTCGTAACTTTGTTCAATCAGAGCACTAGAAGGTTTATATCCAAAAAAAATTTCTTCTTTAAGGAGAACAAAGACATACTTTCATTGACAAATAAAGATCCACTACTTTGAATGGGCAACCTCTACCCCAAGAAAATATCTCAATTTCCAAAGATTTGTAACTCCAAATTTAGTAGTTAGTCTCTCTTGTAGAGCATGTTTCTCAACTATACCATCTCTTATTATAATAATGTCATCAACATAAATTGGAAGAATAGTGAGTTTACCTTCACGAGAATTTTTAAAGAAAAGTTTGTGATCTCATTGACTTTACTTGTGAAACCATCACCTTGGTAAATCTTCCAAACCAAATACATTGGATAGCTTCAAGTCATACAATGCATTTTTAAATCTACAAACCTTATTATCTCCATTTGTTGAGTTGAATCCCGGTGGGATCTCCATGCAGACTTCCTCTTCTTATTTGCCATTGAGAAAGACATTTTTCACATCAAATTATTTGAAATCCCAATTAAAGTGAGCAACAGGGGACAATAGGACTCTTGCAATGTTCATTTGGCCAATGAAGCAATTATTTATTCGTAATCAATGCTATAGGTATGTGTGTATCCCTTGATTACTAGTCGAGCCTTATACCTCTCAAGAGTCCTATCATAATTATATTTCAGAGTATATACCCTTATGCACCTCACTATCTATTTTTTGTTTGGTCTGTCAATAACTTCCCATGTATTATTCTTCTCCAGAGTATTCATCATCTCACGCATGGATTGAACCCAATTATCATCTTTTAATGTTTCATGCATTGATTTTGGGATTGAAGTGGAGTCAAGTGTTATAATAAAACTTCTATGTTGCATAGAAAGTTTCTTAGAGGAGACAAAATGAGAGATAGAGTATTGGGTATAAAACTTTTTCTCTTTCTTACAACAATGGGTAAGTCATCAATAAGAGTAATGCATTCAATAATTACCATTTGTTCAGACGATTGCAATTACTGGTGAGGCAATGAGGGTTGTTTCTTTCTTTGATATAGTAGTTCAGGAGTCTCAACCTTCTGTATCTTCTCTTGATTGATAGGAGATATATCATATTCACTCACTCATGTATTACATAATCCCAACCAACTAAAAGAAAAATTTGCCAAAATCCTAAAAGGTAAAGTTGTTGATTTGCAGCTAAAATGGGTAAAAGAATTAGATAAGAAGGACTTAAGGGTTAGAAAAGTCAAAAAATAATAAAATATTACTTTATTAAAAAAATAAAGGTGAAACATTTTAAAATAGACTTGTGATTAGATTTTTAAATATTTTTTAATGAAACCAAACCTATATTATTTTTAAAGCGGGTCAAATTAAGTTAGGTCAAAGTCCGATCAAGTTATATGCACACGAGAGACCACCGATCTAGGTGAAAAACAATCAGCAATGGTACAATACCATGGCATGATAGTATTTGGCAATGCAATAGTGTGTGCGAAACAAACTATTGAAATTAATTTTTAAATTAATTATTTTTATGAATAAAAAATTTGATTTAAAAAAATATGTCATTGTGTCGACAAACGGATATGTTATTTCACCCATGAACGAGTGTTATTTAAATCGTAATCTTAGGTTTTTTATAAATAAACAGAGAATCAGAATTTTAATACGAGTTTTTTCTATTGATTTTTGTATATTCTTTGCATTTGCATTATTTCACTTTGGTGCTATCAGTTAAATGTAAGTTGATTTTGATGAGGCTATATAAAGAGAGGGCAAA